CACACACACACACACACACACACACACACACACACACACACACAACACACCACACACCACACACACACACACACACACTCTCTCTCTTCTCTCACTTACCGTCCCTCTCTCTCACCGTCCCTCTCTCTCTCTCTCACCGTCCCTCTCTCTCTCTCTCACTCACCGTCCCTCTCTCTCTCTCACTCAACGTCCCTCTCTCTCTCACTCAACGTCCCTCTCACTCATTGCTACTGTAACTCTCACTCACTGTCACTGTCACTCTCACTCAGTCACACACCCCCCCATCCCCCGTCACTCCCACCGCAGAGCCACGTCAACAATGACTTAGCAGCACCTGAGGAGCTATCCCACCTGCATGAAAATTTATAATGAAAAAAAAATTAGTCGTAACCTTCAGTTAGAACAATCCAGTGCAAAATCATCCAATTTTCAAGCGAAACATTTTCAAAGGCTTATTGTCCTGTTTGTCGTTAAACAATATTATAAAAAAAAAAAAAAAAAAAAAAACTCGACTCGTCATTCCAAAACAAAACAAAACAAAAAAAATGTTGCTGTTTCGTGATGCAACGGAGGACATCCGTGTCTTTAATGCAGTGTCGAACGGCTTAACGTATATGTATGTATATATATTATATGTATATTATATGTATATATTTTCTATTTATACCGTCATAATTCCCTTTTACAAATGAGAATTATCGTCAATACATTATAACAAATATCAAAGTCTAGCAGAATTCTTTTCGTTTACGTTTTTCTTTTTCTTTCTTTCGTGACAGACCTATTCCTTTACGATGTCTAATTTTTCCTTTTTCCTTTTTTTTTTTTTTTGGGGGGGGGGGGGGTCTTAAACCAAGGTTCTATAAGATATGCCTGACCCCTGGGACCAGACTCAGGTTGGGATTTTATTATTTATTATTTATAGTTATCTTTATTTTTGCCAAGGCCTAAAGTTATTTTTAGTTCGTCCCGTCTCACAAAAGGTAGAACTGGCAACTCATCCATCTCCCTCTCTCTCTCCCCCTCTTGCTCTTGCTCTTGCTCTTGCTCTTGCTCTTGCTCTTGCTCTTGCTCTCGCTCTTGCTCTTGCTCTCGCTCTCTTTTCCATTATTCTGATAAGCTGACATATAATATTTGTATTTACATAGGCATGGAACTTCTAAACTTTCATATCATTTTCCTCAGTGCGTTACACCACTTTATTTTCTCTCTCTCTCTCTCCTTCTCCCTCTCCCTCTCCCCTTTTCCCTCTCTCTCTCCCTCTCCCCCTTTCCCTCTCTCTCTCTCTCTCCCCTTTCCCTCTCACAAAAGAAACTTAGCGAATCGGAGTGTTCTAGTCTAGGTTGAGTTGCCAGTTTTTCTTTTTTTTAAGATTAAACGCAGCAGAGGGAACTTAAGCTTTCTCTGCAATGAGATTTTGAGATGCAACGAGGATCTGCAGTCTAAGATCACCTAAACAATGTACCAAATATAAAAATCAAATATATTAATAGATATAAAAATTATTTATTCGTAATGCCAAAACAAAACCAAACACACAAAAATGGCTGATTTATCATGTAATGTAGCAAAATAAAATCATGGAAATGTTTCGATGACATCACAGAAATGCCATGGAACCAGGACCAAGCCAGGCCCAGGCCAGGCCATGGAACAGGACCAAGCCAGGCCAGGAACGGACCAAGCCAGGCCAATGGAACCAGGACCAAGCCAGTGGAAACCAGGACCAAGCCAGGCCAATGGAACCAGGACCAAGCCAGGCCAATGGAACCAGGACCAAGCCAGGCCAATGGAACCAGGATGGAACCAAAGCCAGGCCAGACCCAGGCCAATGGAACCCAAGCCAGGCCAATGGAACCAGGACAATGGAACCAGGACCAAGCAGGCCAATGGAACCAGGAAAGCCAGGCCAATGGAACCAGGCCAGGCCAATGGAACCAAGCCAGGCCACCATGGATGGAACCCAAGCCAGCCAGGACCAAGCCCAATGGAACCCAATGGAACCAGGACCAAGCCAGGCCAATGGATTGGAACCAGTGGAACCAGGACCAAGCCAGGCCAATGGAACCAGGACATGGCCAGATTGGCAAATAGTATGTAGCATGACCACGACCCTGGAGAAGGGAGGCTTTTCGCAACATACCTTTCCACGCGCGCACGCACATACACGCACACGCACACGCACACACACACACGCACACACACACACACACACGCACGCACACGCACACGCACACGCACGCCACACACACACACACACACACACACACACACACACACACACACACACACACACACACACACACACACACACACACACACACATATATATATATATGAACAAGAAAGCAGGTATGGCCTAAAGATAGAAAGGGGAAAACGTTACTAAATATTTTAAGTTTAATTGCAAAGGACTATTAAGGTTGATAACAAAATGTTGAAAAAAACGGTCGTTACAACCCCTAGGGTATGAGACGAACATATTTAAATCATCAAAATGTTGAAAAAAACGGTCGTTACAACCCCCATTTTTTTTTTTTTTTTTAATCCGCTCGTTACAACCCCATGAGTTTGTATACGCTCGTTTACACTCCGACCCTGTCTAAAACGTATCCAAATTTCAAGGAAAACACCCTCTATCTCCCTCCTCCGAAAAAAAAATCAAAGTATGGAAATAAAACCCTCAAAATCAAACAAAAAAGTGTATATTGATGCGTCCAGAATCACTCACAAAAAGTATAAAAGAGAAAAAAAAATATATAGTGAAAACGTCCAAAATATACAAATATATCCAAAAATAAACTGCGTCCGTCCTTTTTTTCCTCGCTAAGCCGATGTCCCGGTTTCGAGCGGAGGTCCAGGGCGCCCCCTCCTACTGGAAAGGCGGCGGCCCGGCCCTTGCGCTCTGAAAAGAGAGGGCCGGCTGTAGTACGCTCGTGGCAAAGGGGGGGGGGGGTGCTAGGATCATCCCCCACCCCTAATCGTACACACCGTTCCCGTTTCCCGTTCCCGTTCCCCTTCCGTCCCCGTTCCATTCCCGTTCCCGTTCCCCGTTCCGTTCCCCCATCCCCACCCCTACCCCACTGTCCCGCAAAGTATACATGGGGGTGAATCATACACAAGAAAAATGGGAATGAAAATGCAGGGTTGTATATGCATACATAAACACTGACGCACATGGACACGCATGCATACATGTATACGCTACGCACACACACACACACACACACACACACACACACACACACACACACACACACACACACACACACACACACACACACACACACACACACACACACAACAGATAAAATGCAAAGACGCAAACAAAATATTAAATACACATATACATACAATATATGTATTATATATTATTATATAATATATATATATATATATATATATATATATATATACAGATAAATAGATAACTACAAAGACACAAAATATTAGATACAAGAATTATGTACGTAATTATATGTATGTACGTTAGTACGTATATGCGTATATATGTATGTGCGTGTTGCGAATGCATATATGTGCGTATGTAAATGTATGCGCGTACGTACGAATGCATGTACGTGCGTATGTACGAAATGTATGTGCGTATGTACGAAATGTATGTGCGTGTGTACGAATGCATATACGTACGCACGAATAAAACCATCCAATACACAAGTCCGCAACACGCCCCCCCTCCTCCACCCCTCGTGCCCTCCCGACGCCCACCAGCGAACGCCCATCGTTTCGGCTGCGGGCGTCCTTCCCCCTCGGCCCGACCTTCAACTCTGGCCTCTCTCTCATGACTGCCACCCCCACCCCCCCTTTCCCTCTACTTCTCTCTCTCTCTCTCATTCTCCTCTTCATATACTCCTCTTCCCATGGTATTTCCTTTTTTTCTGATCGCACCTTCCTTCTCAATTTTCTCCTTTCGTCTCCCTTTTCTCCCCTCTCTCTCCCCTCTGCCTTCTCCTCTCTTCTCTTCTCCCTCCTTCTCCTCTCCTTCTCGCTTCAGAAGGTCGAATAAGACTTGTAAGGTGATGCAACAGTGACAGCCTATCTTTGCTCTTTCGCATTCTCTCTTTTTTGTATTTTTCTCTTTCTCTGCCTTTCTCTTTCTTTCTTTCTTTCTCTTTCTTTTTTTCTCTTTCTTTCTTTCTTTGTTTTTCTCTTCTTTTCTCTTTCTCTCTTTCTCTCTTTCTTTGTCTTTTCTCTTTCTCTTTCTTTTCTTTCTCTCTTTCTCTTTCTTTGCTCTTTCTCTTTCTTTGCCTCTCTCTTTCTTTGCTTTCTCTCTCTTTCTTTCTTTCTTTGCCTTTCTCTCTTCTTTCTTTCTTTGCCTTTCTCTTGTCTCTGTCTGTCTGTCTGTCTGTCTGTCTGTCTGTCTGTCTGTCTGTCTGTCTGTCTGTCTGTCTGTCTGTCTGTCTGTCTGTCTGTCTGTCTCTGTCTGTCTGTCTGTCTGTCTCTCTCTCAAACAAAGGCATACACATAGTCAATTATACTCCCTCATCCTCACTCACACTCAATCTCGGGTACTATGTTACATTCGATAGATAGATAGATATAGACAGATAGATAGATAGATATAGAGAGATAGACACAAAGAGAGAGAGAAAGAGAGGTAAGATAGATATAGGTAGATAGAGATAGATAGATAGATAGAGAAATGATAGCTAGGTACATAGATAGATAGAGAAATAAAGAGGTAGAGAGAGAGACAAAGGTAGATAGATAGAGAAATGATAGATATATAGAGAAATAGAGAGAGGGAGAAGAGAGATAAAGAGATAGAGATGGATAGACAGATAGAGACAGACAGTCAAGTAGATAGTCACCCCCCCATACCCAGTACAGTACGATAGATTAGATAGATAATAAAAAAGAGTTCCTTCGCGCCGTCGCTTCCCCGCGCGGGGCGTGAGGGCGGCGAGGGACCTCCGTCGCGGCGCCCCTCCCCGTCCCCTCCCCCCTCCCCCCAGGACAAAAGCGCACGATCTACTCACCGAGTAGGCCAGGACACTGCCGCCCGGAGCTGCCGACTGAGTGCGATAGGCCGTCTGGGCACTCAGGTTGGGGCTGGGACTGCCGCCGGGGTAGCCGGTGCTGGGGGCCTGGCCCGGCTGCCCACCGGGGTAAGGGCTGCCTCCGGGGAGCGGATACCCTGCGCCACTACCGGGGTACGGGCTGCCTCCAGCGGGAGGGTAGGCGCCGCCGGTGGCTGGAGGGTACTGCTGAGGCCCTCCCGCAGGGTAAGGGCCGGCCCCGGGAGCCGGTGGGTAGCCCGCCCCTGTGGCCGGCGGATAGGAGGACCCTCCGGGGGCCGGCGGGTATGGAGACGACCCTGGCGCAGGCGGGTACGGCGACGCCCCGGCGCGGGAGGGTAGGGCGAGGCCCCCGGCACCTGAGGATATGGCGAGGCCCCCGGCGCTGGGGGGTAGGGCGAGGCCCCCGGGGCAGGAGGGTAGGGAGACGACCCAGGGGCGGGAGGGTAAGGCGACGCCCCTGGGGCAGGCGGGTAGGGAGAGGCCCCCGGTACCGGAGGGTATGGCGACGCCCCTGGAGCAGGAGGGTAAGGCGAGGCTCCCGGGGCAGGGGGGTAAGGCGAGCTCCCTGGGTATGGCGCCGGAGGGTATGGCGCGGCCCCCGGGGGGGGGGTAGGGCGAGGCTCCAGGCGCAGGCGGGTACTGCCCTGCTCCCTGCAACAAAGGTCAAAGCAAAGCAATGAGTCGGAGATCATAGCCAGCGCCATCTTT